TGGAACTGGAAAAAGGTATAAAAAAAAAGAAAGAAACAAAGAGGTAATCTTAAAAACAAAAAAAAAAAAAACTAACTATATGTGCAACTTATAGTTATCTATTTAAATAGTTTATTTGCAGCTTTTGTATTAGCTGTTATACTTGTAATTTGCTAAAAAAATTACTTAATTATATATTCTGATTTTTATATTATATCTAATAAATAATATATTAGTTTCTGTATATCTAAGTGTTGTCTAACTTAACATTTAGTCTTTCTTTTTATATATTGTACCTCAGATGCAAATCAGCCTAATTGTTAATTAGAGCAGCCCAAATTGCAATTTGATTTTAGGCTACCAATTTTGCCCCATATGCAAATTACAAATTATACTTATATTTTTAGAAAATAATAAGTAATACATAATTAATACTATATGCAAATTGTAGATTATATGTATATTTTTAGTAATAATTAATTACTGTTTTAAATTATTTTATAATAATATATAATAAATATATTTTATAAAAAATTTTTTTAGTGAGAATGGTGATTCTAGTATAATGGTTTGGTTGTCATCCTCCAAGTGGCAGGTCTAAAGTTCAAATTCTACCTATGATGAAATTTGAAAATTAACTTGTATTATGACAAACTGTCTCTTAACAATCAGTTGGATTTGTGTATCTATAATCTTAAGTTGCACTATCTTGAATAGGAGCTTAGGGTATCTATGCCAAATGTAATATTTTATGTATATAAAGAAATGTTAATAACTAGTGTCGTATAAGATTTTGGTGCAAACCCACAATAAGACCACCAGGCACAGTAAACTAAGGAACCAAAGAATCAAAAGCCCACTTGGAAATTCCCAAGTAAAGAGGTAGCATGAACTTTTGATGATATGATCAAACTGATGGAAGTTCATGAAACACTCTCAAAGGAATAGGCAGATAAACCAAATGTATAGAAAAGCATATGACTAACTAGGCTGCAAGAATTGCTAAAAAAAAAGAATACATAAGTATACTATACCAGGCTATCTGAATTGGAAGTCAGAGAAGTTCTGTCAGTTCTGAGTAGTAGTTAGTAAGAGATGATGAAGAAGTCATTATGATGATAGGTACTGGGGTTCTAGTGAACTTTACAAGTGTAGAAATAATGTAATGTAGCTGTTAAACAGGTAATCTCTGTGACTGCAAGTGTTAAGTAACTATAGCATATTGTATAAAACTAGTTCAGCTGTGTGTAGGACATGAAAGGTTCTAGTAAGTTTCCTGTTAAGGATAAACTAGTCCTAAGGGTACTTGAAAACATTGGGTACTTTGGATAGGTATAGCCTTAAAGATGTCTCTGTAAGACATGATAGACTATATATGCAAAGGGTTTAAATAGGCAAGACCTGTAGTTGGCTTGCAGGTATGGCATCTAATATAGAACCTGTATAGTAATATATAGGCAGACTACTTAAATTAGGCACTAAAAGTGCACATGTGGCTAGTTGTAACTTTCAATGTAAGAGAGCCTCTGGAGGCATCTGTGTTTAAATACATGAATAAAAACATCAACTCCTATAAATAGTAACTTTAACTTAAAAAAAAAAAAAAATTTTTTTAAAAAAATTTATTATGAAGTTTAATATAAATTATAGTAAATTATTTTATAAAAAGCTTTACAAACTTTTTACTATAAAAACTATTAATTTATTATAAAAAAGTTATTTTTTTTTTTTAACTATCCCTGATGCATTACATTGTAGAGCATGTATGGCACTCAAATTTTCTTTATTAACTTTAATGTTTGGAATCTATAGATTTATATATTTAGTTGCTACGTATATCACTAGTAGTGTTCCCTAACCTCACCATACCATATTATTAACAAGTTTATCACTATTGTAATAATCTGGGTTCCTGGCCCTATAGTATAAGCCCTCTTACTTGAGTCCACAGTTCCCTATCAACAATGGTCCTTATAGGTTCCATCTTCTTATCTCTATTGCCTTTTATAATAATTTTCTAATTTGGGATCCTTATGTTATTAATGTTTCTTGTCAGATTATCTCCTTATCTGGACATCATGTAACCCTGTAGCTATGTTACTTGACTTGTTTTTGCTATAGTACTTTTGTCCAAAATTGGAAGTAAACAATCACTGTAGATCATTTATTCTTGTAATATTCTTGTCCAGAAGTAGAAGTGAGAAATCTCCTTAAGATCATAATAATCATAGTTCTGGCACAGCTTTTTCTCCTAGTTGGAATTGAACTGGCAATCTTGTAAATGTGACCTAGAAGTGCTAACTACTGTACTATTGACTTGCAGATCAAAAAGTTAATTTTATAAATTGTATAATAATAAAAATTACTTCTAATTACATTATACATAGTCTGAGTTTAAAAATACTAATCATAATAGAATTAAAAATACAATAAATACAATAAGTAGTCTTTTTAATTTTAATTTTCTTTTTTAATAGCTTCACTTAATGAATACCTCTATTTAGCACTTCAAATATTTAATGAGATTATAGATGAATATTTACTGTTTTTAAGTGATAAAAAAAGTTCTAAAGCATTAATTTTAGAGAATATTGCTAATAAATATTTACAAATTTTAAATAATTCTCAAGATATTCATATTGCAAATTCTAATATGCATTACCAAGTTAAGAATAATTATTCATGTCAAAGAGTTGGTGGTATTGTAACATTAATGCATAAAGAAAAATTAAATACTTGAAAACTTGTTGCTTTAAAAAAGAGATTATATTATATTATTGAGAAAATCATTTGGCTATTGAATATAAGGGTACTAAAGCTACTTACAAACAAGTATCAAATAAATATTATGATATAAAAAGGTGCTTAGTTGATAAATTTGTTAAAAAATATAAAACATACAAAATGTGCAGATTATCTATCAAACCTTTAGTTATAAAACCTATTATTAGCAAGTTTTTTATACAATGACTTCAAGTATGTAGTATGAACTATAAATTGTTTAAATCTTATTTTTTTTTTTTTTTTTTATATGTTAAATTTTTTTTAATTTTAGCAGGTTTTTTATGAGTAATAACTTTTGCTTGTTTTTTGTGTTGGTCGG